TGGATCATCTTTAAGATCCTGTCTAACCCAAACTATTCTGGGATTCTGTGAGATAAAAGTACTCTTAAAAAGTATTTTTATAAATAAATACGTATTTACATCTGCATTTGTATTACAGTATATATAATAAAATGGGTATTATGTACAATATATAATAGCATAATTTACAATAATAATATAATAAAGTCTATTTTAAAGAAATGTAAATGAAAGTACACTTATACTAATTTGATTTGATGGGCAGCACATTTCTTGCAGAGTTTGCATAAAAGGACAATCCATACCTGGATCGACTGTGGTGACCATAGGAACTGCTCCTGGATCGGCTCCTGCTGTAGCTCCGACTGACAAAATCCAAACCACAGGGTGAATTTTAGTCAACAGAAAGCAAAAGTGCTGGAGAGCAGGGGGAGAGGGGGGGACAAGAGGACGAGAACATGTCTGGCACCAGCTCCAGCTGGATGAACTCACCTACGGCTCTTGTAGCTGTGGTAGGAACTGCTCCGGCTCCTGGAGCGATCCCTGCTGTACCAGCCCCGGCTCCGGCTCCTCGAGTAGCTCCTGGACCTACAGTCAAGGACACCAAGAGAGAACACAGCTGAGAAGAGCAGCAAAAAATGGGAACCAGAAGAAGTTAATAAGCTTTAGCTTTCCCAAAGGCTGGAGCCCCACTGCTCTGGGGCCAGGCTGGGAGAGCTGGGGGTGTTCACCTGGAGAAGGGAAGGTTCCGGGGAGATCTCAGAGCCCCTTCCAGGGCCTGAAGGGGCTCCAGGAGAACTGAAGAGGAACTTTGGACAAGGGCCTGGAGGACAGAACAAGGAGGACACTTCACACTGACACAGGGTGCCCAGAGAATCTGCGTCTGACCCTAGATTCCTGGAAATCTCCAAAACCAGGTTAGACAGGGCTTGGAGCACCCTGGGATAGTGGAAGGTGTCCCTGCCCATGGCAAGGAGTGACACTGGATGGTCTTTAAGGTCCCCTCCAACCCAAACCACTCTGTGGCTCTGTAACAGGACTGTTAAAAAACAAAAAAAAAAACAACCTGAAAAGCATTCCTTGGAAATACAAGAACATTCAATTCACCAGGGCTGGCTGTGGGAGCAGCACAAGCTTCTCACCTATATGAATATGTAGAACTTCGGGATCGACTTCTCGAGTGACTGTAGGATATGGATCTTGTTCTGTGTCTGGATTTAGACTCCGATTTACTTCGTGACCTGCTGAGACTCCTGGAAGGGCTGTTGTCATCTCTGCTTGGAGATTCCTCCTCACTGGAACTTTCTTGGTTCCTCGGCCGACGATTTAGCCGGGCTGTTTTCCTCACTTCATCAAAAAGAGACCCAGGCCTTACTTTATTTTTTGCCTTTATTTCAATTCTTAAACCTGCTGGTTTAGGCTCTGGTGCTGATGCTACATTTTTAACCTCCGTGGTTGTACTAATTGCTGCTGGTTTTAAGTTACCAACACCTTGCAAAGGCTTCCATTTATTGTCTATCATATTGCTTGGTGTATTTTCAGAAATTTCACTTTTTAAACCACAGTCTTTAGCACCAGACACAGGGGCAGAGTTATTTTCTTGCCTTCCCGTTTCTTTTTCTTCTTTAATATTAATAAAGTCTCTTATGTTGTTTCCCAGTTTGACAGCATCTTGCTCAGGAGGCTCAACCTGTAACTCTTTTTTTACACTGGTACTCAAAGGTTTAGCAGTGAGAATGACAGGAGACAAAACATCCACATCCACCTTCCCTGGCGAGTTACGATCCGGAGTACAAATCTCCATGTTGTCATCTGTCTGAATAACATCTTCCAGCCCAT